AGGCCTGAAGGGCAAGGAGCCGGTGGTGTACCCCTGGATGAAGAAGATCCATGTGAGCGCGGGTACGTGGCACCGCCGGGAGATCGGGGAGGGTGGGCCTGGCCGGCTCCGGGGGTCGGGGCGGGGGTCAGGAGGGAGAGGTGGAGGGGAGGGGAGCCCCCATCTGGCCCCGGCCTCAGTGGAGTGTGAGTGTGTGCACTCCAGCCGCCTGATCCCAACGTGAGAACCCTTTTGTACTCGGGGTCCCTTTATCGGGAGATTTACGAGACGCCAAACTGTTAGGGCAGTAATTATAGCCCCCATAAATTTAATTGCCCTGGCAGAGGCTTCGGGCCATGTGTCTTTGAAGCTTTTCTTCAGCCCCAATGCCCATGCACCATTCTTTATAGCTCTCGGGTGTTTCCCGTTGTCAATAGCCTGTGAAACATTTTCTTTGCCGTTTTATGTATCTTGCTGAACTTGGTGTCAGGTTATTATATAATGATGATGTCCAATTGCTCTTCCCCAACCCACCTTCTCTCTCCTCCTCTTCTCCCTCTCTTCTCTTCCACTCCCTCCTCCTGGGCCTCCTCCTCCCGGCTGACTTCTGGGCGTCCAGTCAACCCCAGTTATAACGGAGGGGAACCCAAGCGCTCTCGAACCGCCTACACCAGGCAGCAGGTCCTGGAGCTGGAGAAGGAGTTCCACTTTAACCGCTACCTGACCCGGCGGCGCCGCATCGAGATCGCTCACACGCTCTGCTTGTCCGAACGCCAAGTCAAGATCTGGTTTCAGAATCGCAGAATGAAATGGAAGAAAGATCACAAACTGCCCAACACCAAGATGCGCTCCTCCAACTCGGCTTCTGCCCCAGCTGGACCCCCAGGGAAAGCACAGACTCAGAGCCCCCATGCCCATTCCCACCCAGGCATCTCCACACCTATTTCTTCCTCCTCCATCTAGTCCTCTGAGGAGCTATACCACTCACTGTCTTCCCCTCAGCTGCTTCTCTCCTGTCTTCTGTCCCTTTCCCCTCCCACCGTGCCCTGTCTGGATTATAACAGACAAGACACCAAAACCAAAACCCAATCTGGGGGAAAGCAAAACAAACATAGAAGATATTATCCTTGTAAGAAGGTGTGTTGGTTGGCATCCAAAAGAAGACAATTGGCCAGGATGCTGGCTGGTGGAACAATCTCCTGGCTTGAACAAGCTGCCAGGTTTGGGTACCCAAGAAGGACCACTGGGCATGAAATAACTCCGGAGATGACTGAAGTTAATGCAACAGCGTGTATATTTGTTACAAGCAAAAGAAAACAGACCCTTTCCCCACTGCACCCACGACCCTCTTCCCCATCCAGGCAGCTCATGCAAGCTTGTATTGAACTGAGTAAATGAGCAGACATGGTGGACCTCACAAGATTATTTAACTCAAAATGTATAGACCTTCCTGGTAGGTGTGACACATTAGTTTCCTTTCCTCGCATTTATTTAAGATACTGTTATAGACATATAGTTGTCTTCTCCTGGGCAGAAATCTCTCAGCTGGGGTGGGGGTGGGGTGCTAGGGAAATGCATTTAGACCTATGTGCAATTGTACAAATTGTGATGTGGCTATATATAGGTTGCTATGTGCTACCAATAAACTGATTTTGAAAAAAAACATTAAAAATGTAAAACACAAGTTTGTATGTTTCCTAAGCTTCTCATTAAAAATAAAACCAAAAATGTTCACTGGATTGAGAGGGTTGACCTTACATGTAAAGATTTTGTAGATGCCTTGAGTCATATTGGATTCTGACTGCTGTGTGTGTGTGTTTTCAACTTGAGCTGAACTCTTGTCAAGCTTGACCCACTATGGGAAAAATGCCAAAGGCTCTTGAGCTGTTGAGAGGGCTCCTCTTCTTCCCAAACTTGGCCAGGCTTTTAGGCTGGGAGTCTCTGTAAGGCATGGCAATATGTCCTTCCCCGCAAAGCAATGAAAGATGAAACCGCGTAGTGCTGCGGGGCCCAGGAGTTCCTGCAGCTGTTCTGCATACTGAACTCTGAGCACACTTGGAAAGAAGTAGTCCCTTTGGTATTTATTGCACCTTCATACTTAATCTGTTGGTTTCCCCGGAGATAAAAAGTAGTTTGTGCAAAGGGTTGAGATTGCTTGGCTATTTGAAAGATCCTCTTTACTAACTACAGATTGGGGATTTTTGTTTGTTTGCTTGTTTCCCTCCCTCCCTCACACACTCTTTTTAAAGGGAAAGCTTATAAAATAAAGTGTATATTCCCAGCACACCCTCGAATGTTTCCTTCAAGGGAGAAAAGCCATAATGATGCTGTGAAGTGCACCCCAATAGACCTGGAAGAGCTTTCTGCTAGAAGAAAGCCAGACTCTGAACTAGGGTCTCTTTCCTCAAATGCTCCGGAATGTGCCCACCCAGTCCTAGAGCTCTAGAGTCCAAAGGTTGAAAAGCAAAACCCACATCTCAAATCTCCATGGCTTTAACATTTATTGGCTAACTTTTACTTGCTGTTCAGAGAAGGGAATTCCTTACAAAGAGACACAGAAAACCCAAACATACTAACCTCAGAATATCAGAACCATCCCGATTCTGATATTTGAACAGTGCAGTTTTGATTCATGTAATTTAGCAGAGATGGAGGCGAATGCTCACCTAGCTCTCGGATATCAGAGAGACTTTAAAACACATCAAGGGCACAACACTCAACCAGTGATCAGGACTGGTACCCTTCTCACCTCTGTAACAACAGGCAAGGGTGGTCAGCTATGAACAGACAGGGGCATCCATCTCTCAGGGCCCTCCATCTCTCCCTAAGAAAACTCAGGGATAAACAAATGCATACAGGCCTTCGCCAGGCAGGCCCAGCCTGGCATCAAGCGCATTTTATAAGGTGTGAACGGGTGCCAGGGATTTCTGGAGGCATTGCAACTGCTGCTGAAACTTATTAACCCTCCCCCCTACTACAGGCACTTGTAAAACGAAATTAAATCACGCTGAAAATAGCAATTTTCCCAGGAATCATTAATCACCTCATACAATAAATACTTCTTTGTAATTCAACAGCAATTCTGAAAGGCATTCTCTGGGAAAAGTCTGTGGAGGAGCGAGGGATCTTCTTGCAAATAATGTGGTCTCAGGCAAAGAGGCAGCATCTTGGCTGGCTGCTCAAAACAGGCCTAGATTCTCGGTGGAAATTGAGTGTCGCACTGCAAATCCTCAGATGGCAGGTGATCATCCTTTCAGGTAAAGGCTTTCATTTCTCCTTTGCGGGAGGCGAGGGTGTTACTTCATGCTGGGGACAGTTGATTGGGGATGAAGAGAGTATCATGCCTGCTGGGAACAAGTTCCTGTCTCTTGCTCAGAAAAGAGAAAAGGTTGAGATCATTTCTCTAATATTCTAGGGTTTTTAAAAAATGACATTTTTTTTGGCTTAGACTGTCTTGATTATTAATGTATTGGTGAATTTCGCAAAAATCAAAGTTACCTAAAATAATGCAAATGATTATGGCATTTTCCAGTGTTGTGCCTGTTTCAGACTTGGACTTTAGGAGAACTTGTCAGAAGAGCTTACAAAACCCTACTTTTTATGCTTCAAAATCGTGCATGTCTGCCCTTTGCTAAGGCAACCATAAGAGTTTACAAAGAGGACAAATTTTCTATCTCATTTTTTTTTTAGCAAGCCCTACTACCCCCTCAAACCCTTGACCTTTAAAGACAGTATTTTTGTGTGAGCTCTATAATTCTCCAACTAAACTGACCCTTATAGTGCTGTCCTCTTCTTTCTCCTTCTCTCTTCCTCCCTCCAACACACACTTCTCCTCCGCCTTGGTCACAGACCCCAGCTCTGCAGACTCTGGAGATAAAAGTTTTGTCAATGTCTGAAATCAACCTAAATCGGATAGGAGACACTTTAATGGTCACAGTTTGAATTAAGTACTTAACACTCTCCCCCTTGAAGAAAAATGGCACTTTACAGGCGCTCTTCCCTAGTTTCGCCAAAATCTACAATATACCCGATGTTTTATTACAGTGGGAATTCAACTGTGACAGGCAGAGTAGAGTACTTAATACCCAGGATGGAGCTCATGGGAAGATTACCTAGGTAGATAGGGGATAGGAGGGTTGAGCCTTCTCACAGTGGTTCTGACTTTATATACAATTGTCTCAAGGTGTTCTCATTCTCTCCACCTCTCAGCCTTCCCACCTACCTGCCCCACCCCCAAGTGAGGATGGATACCACTATCTCTCCTTTACTCCACTCCCTACTTCTGTGTCCAGACTCTCCTGCTCCTCTCCAGACTCTCCTTCCCTCCAGCAGTTTTAACATAGAAACAGATCAGCAAGCCTTTCCAATGGAATTATAGAAGTACCCCCTCCATGCCCCCCACCAAATTAATGTAACCAACAGATCTGCAGCTTCCTGTCTGAATTGTGGAGTCTGTGCAGGCAGTGGGCCCTGCACTGCACCCCTCCCCCGGGATCCCTGCGTCCCTGGCTCCCTGGCTGGGGTCTTACATTGAAGAACACAGCCTTTACCCTTCCCAACTACTGCTTCTGTTGGGCCTTCTCTGGACAACACCCTGGCTCAAGAACAACTCACCGGGTCTTCTCTCAAAGAATCTGGGAAGAGGAAGAGACCTGTGATCTGTCTCCTAGGATGAGTTCTGCTCAGGAGGGCTGCTATGGCTGCTGTGAGACCTTGTAGCCTGGAACCTCTGGCTTGAACTTAAGTTTCTCTTCTTCTCGAGGCCCCAAAGGCCCTCTCCACCTCTGAGGCCAGTATTGCTGATTCTGGGGTTGATTCTTGGAGCCTAAAGAGTCCCTGGGGTTGAAGACTGTCCCAGACAAAAGAGATGGTGGCCCTTTTCGGTTCAGCCTTCTCCATTTACCAATTGGGGATCTAAAGCAGAAGAATGATTGCACCCCGTGTTATTGACGCTGAGGAGTGCCTGGCTGCAGAAAAGTTTGGGTCTCACGCTGGGCCCAGGTAGAGGTACAGGGCATCTTTTCTTTTCAGAAATCTATTCTGTCAGAACGGAAGTGTGTGTGCCCAGGCTTGCACTTGGCATGCCCCACCACAGGTGGGTGGTGGCTGGCACAGAAGGCTGATTTGCCACCAAAGTGGCCCAAGAGATTAGGATGCTCAGACACATTTGACCACTTGCCTGGGAGAAAGGTGGTCTTTCTTCTCACTGCCCAGAGTGTGCACAGGGTGGAATGATTCCTCCAAACTTGACCAGCTCTCCCCAGGGTGCCAGTACTTTGCCCAGGCTGCCTGCAAGGGAACCTGTGCTTGGAAGGCCTGGGGAGTGAATAAAGGCATAGGCACCAAAAAGGAGCCCTGATTGTTGCAGATAAAGGTGTGCCGCCTGTTCCAGGGATATATTGAAATTGTAATCTTTGGGTCACATGACTCATTAAATAATTAATGCAGATCGGCAGGAATGGATTAGAGTCTTCAAGGCCTCACAAGGAATGAATCTCTCAGAAGTGAGACCCCCCAACTTCCTATTTGATTAAAAAAAAACACATATACTCTCAGATTTCTCTCCAAAAGCTTTTAACTCCTCCAGGAAGGCAGGAATCAGCCCTCTGCCTGGGAGAGGGCTGATCCTTGGTTCTTGGGGCTCTGCCTACCAGGGGGGTCTCTGCAGGAGCCAGGGAGCGTACATCTGCTGCAGAGGAAAACCGCCTTGAGTTCTGGCTCGGATTTTCTGCGGTCACATCCCGGCATTGGTGATGAAGTGGGACGGATGCGCAGACAGTTGGTAATGTTCTGATTCACACTGGGAAAGGCTGCGGCCATACCACAGGACGGGCGCTCGGCTTTGTTCAATTTTCCCGGCGTCCATAAATCACCCTTGCCAGGCCTGTGAGGGAGCAAGGCAAGTGCCCCGAACGCCGACAGAGGCCCTGGTGGTGGTGGCGTTGTCGGCAGAGGAGGCCATTGCAGACAGAGAGACCCGGGAAACATCTCTCTCTCTCTCTCTCTGAAGCATTAGTCTGAACAATTTATGGGGAACAGCAGCCCTGAATATTCAACTCCAGGATAAGGAAATAGCAACAACAATAATGCCCATCATAATGACAGTATTCCTAAGCATCTCTGGAGGGAGGTGTGTAGTGGCAAAGAACCCCTTTCTGGGAGCCAAGTTGAGTAGCAGAGTGCAGGATGGCAGCCCCTCCTTGCTCAGGGCGCCCCTGTGGGAGCACAGCAGGTCTGAACAAGAGAAAGGACCTGGCACGGGATTGTGTGTGGTGGGAGGGTAGTGGCTGGTTTATCAGCATTGGGTAGTGAGGGGAGTAGCCATGGGGACAGGGAGGGCTGGCTTTGGGAAGGTTGGAGTGGGGAGACATTGTCCAGGCCTGGGTGAAGAGGTAGATTGGTGGGGTGGGGGGTGAGCAGGGGTAGAGCTTCGGGAGCAAACTGCTCAGAGAATCCCAGCCAGGGAAAAGTTCCCCAAGTGTGGGCTGAGTTTGGAAAAGGGGAAGGTTCTTCGCACCTTCCTCAATGTGTCCCTTCCCCAGAAA